AAAACAGCTCATAATCTCGTTTGACAAAAGCCAGTCCTGAAAGCACTATATGAATGCGAACACGTTTTGATGGAGCTGGGTTGACCTTTGTGAAAAAACTTTGAAATATGGAAGTTTATTACGGGCAACAGCATGATCGGCGCTATATATGGAGCAAAACGGTAAACGACTTGCTTCATTTTGTCACTGTCTTTAGGAATTTTAAAAAATTCACATTTTGATGTTCACAGCGCCCATTTCTGTGTAAAGGCGATGAAAATTTTTCAGCCAAATTGGAACAAATTTCGATAGAGTATAAATTTTTCAGCTGCAATACCGTATTATTTGAGAACGTGTTCACTCTCACAAACATTCCTTTCTCCATGAGAAACTAGCACTTTTCTGAGAAAATGTTAACGTCGAACCTGTTTCTCCTTTTATTTTTAGAGCAGCTATTAACTCAATTTTTTCGGTAGCTAGTGGATAAATATTTGAACAGCTTCATTTACTTGCCATACTTGAAGGAGGTTCAGCTCTGTCTAGAATGTCATCAATTTGCAAAACCTTGCAGCTGAGCAAACATCATTTACATGGTTAGTACAACATCATGAACACTGAAATTGAGAGCAAAAGAGTAAAGAGTTCGTCTACAGAAACAAACTTTACGATGCCACACAGGATCTTGGACAGACTTAGATGTACTCAAATCTCATCGAAAGTCAAGAAAAAAGAAGTGGAAGTAGTGCACCAAAATCAAACGAAATTGTGCAAAAGAATTTCCACACTGTAATGTCAGAATGTTGATGCCAAAAATAGCTGAACAAACACATGAAGGGACGATATAAAAGTAGAAAGTTCACTATTTGTTGACTTTACTCCGTGAATAGGTGGTGCACAGAGTCAAATGGACCACTTATAAAAGAAACTAATAAGGGAAAGACTTTTAGAGGCCGTGACCATTTAATATGAGATGCATATCATCTGAAGCGGTCTTAAATGCTGATTTCAAATTCGTAGTTTCTGCCAAAGTTTTTGCGGAACTAACGATAAGGAAGGGGAAAGGGGCTATGGAAGCTTGAAAATCTGATGGGCACTCGTGTGTCAGTGTGTCAGTGGTGCAGGGTAGTGGTTAGCGTGCTGCCACTGAAGGCGAGAGGTAAAAGGTTCAATTCAAGGAAGTCGGGACCTTTTGCAGTTTGATTGTGAATTTGATATTTGCACATATTTGCACTTTTTAAAGGTCAAATGTCAAAGACATTAAGTGTCTGCAGACGATTTTAAATACATGTCAAACTCAAGAAGGGTTTTTGGGCTACCATGATTCCCATAGGTGCGATAGGGAGAGCAGGTCCCTTCCAGGTGAAGGGGGTTCTGTCTATTCCTGACCCAGAAAAGTGAAAGAAGTAACTGGGCCTGAGATGAATGCTGAAGCAAGCATCATGTCTAAGGGGAGCGGGAGTGAAAAAAAAAGAGAATAAGTGGTACAGAGGTGTAGTATAAAGATTTCCTCAATACTTAGGCTTTGATAGGTCATTCAACAGAGATTTTTTTGACTCAGGAAAGCTTTATATTTTATCAGTCGACATACCATTCGAAAGCTTGCAACAACACAAACATACAGAATCGACGTAGACCATCTATTTTTTCCAGCTCTCTTGTGAATTCAGACATAAAAAATCATATTTAGCTCCAGCATCAGCTAATTTAATGCAATCACTTTGAGCTCCATTTCTGAAAGAAAGAGGAAAGCTAGAAAAAAAGAGACGGCCTATGTTTTACTGGCAAGGTCATGCTCTTTAGTAGTGTTAGACAGTCAGGGCATCTTCATTCATTCTTTGCGCAGGAATTTCTTGACAACGCATGTTTTTAGCCAAAATGTCATGTATCTCTGAGTAGAGGGAAGCTAGAGAAAACGGTCTACGTCATATCCCTTTTCGTGAGCTTTTTAAAGGTATATAGGTCGTTGGGTGGAAAAACTCGTGTCTTCTCAAAAATGAGGTGGTATATAGTATTAACTTGCTCCACCCCGCTCTTGCTTTCTATGGATCGCCGGAGAAAGACTTTTTTACTGGGAAAATTTTGTGCACCAACACTTTCTATACCATACGATAGCTAAGAATACGAGGAATCAACGTAGACCGTTTTTTTTTCTACCTTTTCTGTGAAGCGAGATACGAGCAATCTTATCTAGCTAAATATCAGCCAGTTCTGCGTCATTATTTTTTCAGATCAAGAAGGTCTTTTTCGAGTTTTATGTATGAATTTCGAAGCATGAAAAACGTATAATCTAACTGCTTATTATTCTCTCTAATGAAAGAAGAAACGGTACGATTCTTGTCGGTAAACATGCATCCATCACTAGCTAGCCCAATTTTCTACTCTTGCTTAACTCTTTCTTGCAACAGTGTGTATTCGTCGATAAATTTTGAGTATTCAAAGAATCAGCCATCGTTTGAATTTTTGATTATGTTCTCAACCTTAGGTGAAAGGGTCTTCACTTTGGGGTCAGCCAGACCCTAAAGTGAAGAGGATCAGAGAAATTTCTCCACCTATCGCATCTATAATGATTCCCTTTAAAGAAGCGTTCCGCAGAAACGGAATGCAGATTTGAAATTAGCAATTAAGACTGCTTCAGAGGATATGGAGTTCATCTTCTACACATCCCTCGACTGGTCGGTCATTTTGACCGCTCTTCCCCACCCTACCGGACGTCAAACCCCTTGATCCAGGAAGCCGCGGAACAGCAGGATCAAGTATGTTCCACCCCAACAACGACTGTTCACACATCGGAACCTTCAACGTGGGACGCCTGCCAAATGAAGACCCACTACATGAACTGCAAGAAGCCCTGAAGAGAACACAACTCGATATACTGGCCTTAACGAGATGGAGAGAAAAAAGAAGCTTGGCACTTGCAATTGGCAAAGAGTAAGATCACTCAGGTTAAAAGAATGGATCAGTTTGTTTGGGTGCCTCATATTGTAATAATATGAAAGGCAAATAAATCATAAATCAGAGGATATGCATCTCATATTAAATGGCCACGTCTCCGAAAGTAATACTTCTCTTGTAAGTCAACTGAGTAGTTTCTAAAGTAAATGTGTTGAAAATTTCATCTAAAAGTATTGTCGTCACACCAGCAGTGATGCTAAAAAGAAAAGCAAAGTGCTGTTTTACAAAAAAAATACTTGTAAAGCTTCCAGCTTTCGAAGATTATCTCTAGAGTGGCTCGAATGCTATTTCAGGTGTATTTAATAAGTAAAGCCTTTTGTGCTCATACAGGGTTCATTGACTGACCTAATTTGATTTAAGAATCATACGTATCAAAGTGTAATTACTGAATGATTCCATTTGACCAACTGATTTGAGCAATAGGCAGGGCTTTGGCGAAAAAAAGTGAGAAATTTGCGAGGAGTGGCCTTTGAATGAACAAAAAACTATTTTTTTCATCGGATAGAGCATCATGTCTACCTAATTCGCGGTGGAGTACCCATGATTTCAACCAGGAGGGCGACAAAAATTTTTTCCCAATAAGGTTGCGTGGCGTGAGCCACCACTCCGAAAATTTTTTGAGATGCTTCGGAAATTTTTCCGCGCCTATGACCTAAACACTCCAAAAAAGTTGGTGGTAGCCGCGCCCCAGAAAAATTCTTTATACGTGCTGGTGTGGTACAGGTGAAGGATGCGGCATTTGACAATGAGTGCAAGCCTGTTTTGATAAGACCTGGACCTATGTCTGCATGATCGCGAGAGTCGGACGTGCGTACGGCCACTACGCCGCGCATCCGATGTCACTAAGGCAGGTGCCAGACTTATCCTGTTCAACCGGTTCGTCCAGCTCACTCATTCGCTATTCTCAGACACTCGCACCGGCCGGCTGCCGGCCGACGACCGTCTGGAACATCACCGATATTTCGGCCGGGCCGGTCTCCGGCCGGACGCCAGCCGGTCAGACATTCGCACCGGCCGGCGACCGGGCCACGGCCGTCTGGCGGGACATCGTGATCCGTCTCAGCCGTTCGTGCGCGCTCGCCGGCCGGTCATGAAACGGTCGTCGGCCGGAAATGACTAATCGCCAGCCGGCAGGGAAAACATGCGCGTGGCAAGTCGACATCGAAGCACGATGTACTGTTAGATTCTGCACAGCAAATTGAATGCTACAGCGCTTTCGCGCTCTAGGCTACCCAGTCAGTTGTGGAGCATACTTTTTGCTTAATCATTTCCTTATTTTCATGTTGTCTTTTTGATCGCTCACTCTATTCACCAAATTTCTCAAATTAAAATGATGATAGATATCTTCATTTGAATCAGAATCGAAACAGTATATGCAACTAACATGCAACAATTATGAGAAATACAACACACAATACATCTAAAATCATACAAAATGAACAAAACAGGGAAACAAATTGAATGCGCAATGCGCATTGACATCACTCCACAATTTCATCGAGTCCACCTATATGATGAGATCAAATGTGGAATCGTGCGGGTGAGGCAAGATAGGAATCATTGGAATGAGGCAACATAGAGTGAGGCATGCCTGCTAACGATCATATAGCCCGGCTCTCTTGGATCAAAAAAGCCCAAAATGGTTTTTCTTTGGCTCAAGGCATATCGCGGTCAAAGTTTCGTGAAAAAGTGTGGTTTATACCGAAATTCAACATGAACACGTCTATAAAAAATCACACTACATGTGAACATATCGCGAGGGTGATTTGAAAATTCATCCGCTGGCTGTTTCTGCGTTTACATCAAGCCAGAAAACAATAGCTGAAGTATGCACTCAAACGCTTGACATTAGACAGGTATGCCAAATAGTGAGTGAGCTTAACATCTATGGAACTTCTTAAGATTAGTGAAAACAATAGAGAGACTCAAACTTTTACATTCGGGTCTTCTAAAAACAAAAGCAAGACTGGAGACAAAAGTGAATAGAGTTTTAAACATATATGTAAGCAAGTATTTAAGCGTAGAATCAAGTCCAAAAATGATCTGCTCACGAATTGCTAGAGTGCGAATCAATCTTCCTCTGGCGGCATGTTTTTGTCCCATGGTATGTCTTCTGATGGTGTTCTCCTGTTGATCACACCTCCACTGGCTTTGCGCTAAATGAGCATCACTTTCGATGCGGAACCTAGTGAAAACTCACGTTGTTAGGGATGAAGCATTGCTTTTCGTGGTAGAATTTGTAGTTCCTTCTATCGCGCCTGAATTAATTGGTTATGCATTTTTCGTAACGGCAATGCAAGAAATGCTTACAGAGCAACTTAAAGTGCTCTAAAAATGTGTGGGCGATAAAACATTCGCTGTTGGCATGCTTCGCCATATGCTGTGCGTTCACATCCTAATAGATCTTCCATTCTGCAATTAAGAATTAGACTCCCCCACATGTAACCACTAGGCGACTCACCCATGAGCATATTTTCTACCACATGTGGTAGATTTTGAAGATTTTTATTTCGTCCGCCTTTTTCATTTTCTCGTATCGCGTATTCCTGTATGCGATATGGCGGATCGGTTATCTAAATAAAGTACTTAAGAGCGAAAAAGTAGTGTTATTATCAAGCCGATCTTTTGAAGGATGTGTCGATACAAAGCGGCAAATCGTTGAAATAATGTCTTTGAATTCCCCCGGCTTTCAAGTGTCCCACTACCAGATCGTTGAGGTTAACCTTAACATTGATATTGGTCCGAATTGACTCTTCTGTGAAAGATACCTCAATAAAGGGAGGTGGTCCCGCGAGTATCCAATCTTTTTTTTGCAGTTGATCAGAGAAATTCCGGCGTTCTCGGGCGCTCCCCAATGATGCGAATCTCCATCTGTCACTTCATTTTCTCTACTTTTACTTCTCTGCTTTTCTCTACTTTTCTATCGACCGTTTCGCTTATAAACTCCTCATTGACAAGGGAAGTGTCACAAATCGCAGTGCCCGTTTGAGATGGGATGGGCGGTGTGACACGTCACTCGGAAGGGCATTTCCAAAACCACCCTCGCTAGCTGCATAACAACTCTAGGAGGGGAGCTACGGGTGTTTTTCCGCACGCGACCCAGCGCGCCTCACTCGAATACGACTGCCACCGTCAGCAACCCCTGTCGGTGTGGCGCAGTGGCAAGTGTGCTGACTGAAGTGCGGATGTTTGAAGGTTCGAATCCTCTGTTGGGCAACTCGTTTGCAATTTGTATGCAAACTCCTAAAATGTGTAGATTAGTGGCCAAAACTTGTTTTACCCCTTTACTGGTGCTTAAAAGCAAAAAAACATCGAGGTTGCCTTCATAAGATGCTCTTATTGCAAAAAACTTTTCTGCTTCAAGCATTTTGTTCTAGGATATCAGGTATGTGACAGGAATCTTACTACAGGTTAAGAACGCATTTTCCTCGCTTTTTCCACTATATTGTGTCGCACGCTAGATCTAACAATAAAGTTTTATCTAACTGAGTGCTTCACCACGCGTATAGCAGGTCTTCGCAATAAAAACAATTTTCTACTTCCATGCACTAGTAAAGGGGTGAAACACGTTTTGGCCACTAATGTACACATTTTAGGAGTTTGTATATAAATTGCAAAAGGGTTGTTCAACAGAGGATTCGAACCTCCAAACATCCACACGGTAGTCAGCACACTTGCCACTACGCCACACCGATACGGATCGCTGACAGTGGCAGTCGTATTCGAGTGAGGCGCGCTGGGTCGCGTGCGGAAAAACGCCCGTAGCTCCCCTCCCAGAGTTGTTCTGCAGCTAGCGAGAGTGGTTTTGGAAATGCCCTTCCGGGTGACGTGTCACACCACCTATCCCATCTCAAACGGCCACTGCGATTTGTGACACTTCCCTTGTGAGAGCAACGGATAGCGTGGTAAGTCTCGGATGTTCAGCGTAGCAAATGCTGAAGCCTGGTCTGAACAAATAAACATGAGGTACTCATTTATGGAAGGCGGGGAAATCCTTCTCAAAAAGGCATGAAACAGGCGCGGAAATCCGTTTCAAAAAGGTATGAAGCAGACTTTAGTTATCAAACAACCCACTTCTTAGTGATGCGAATATTAATTGTTCATTTGATGACAAGGTTTCGATTCTGTTGTGACTCAACATAACGAAGGGTAGGTCACACATTACCGCTCTTACCGCTTTTACGAGCCTTAGCATTGATGCTGCTGTTACAACGTTGGCACTGTTATCGTTACACACAGCAGTCGTTCTTGCTCTTGTTACCTACGTTTCACTTTTCAGTATATGAATGATAAGCTTGTAGCTTGACTTTTTCTAAACTGAGAGGCAGATAAGTAACAATAACTTTGTCTTCATACTACCGTCCTGATGCGAAGAAAAAGGTAGTTAGCAGTTTAAGGAATGGCAGACGGAGGAAATAAGACTGCGGACATCCATGCCATCCAAGCGGAACACCGGTAACAGAAGAAAGTAAATTGTTCAACGGTAACAGTGGTAACACTAGTAACGGCGGTAAATCTGCTCTGGTAGCAGCGGCCACATTATTTGAAGTAAAGCATGGAATAATAAACTCTAAGAATAAAAGTCGTAAAAATGTAGAATAAACTATTAGCGGCAGGGATAGAAGTATCTACAATAACTAAAAAAGCGTTAACAGAAAGGAAGTTCCTTGCTGTAGCGTTACCTGTGTAGCATTTCTCCTAACAACGTACCACAGCGGCTGTGTTTGTGAAAAGTAGGTTTTTGGTTGTGGTTGTTTCTCCAAGGTCTCAGCAAACTTCATAAAATCGCTTCGTTTCACTTCAGCTATAGCCAACGCCTAAACAGCACTTCGGCTACAGCCAACGCCTAAATAGTGAAAAACAGTAATAAGTCCAATCACAGACTCATTAATAAACTTACCTTTTCAAACAATGGGACAAAAATGAATGGGTATTCACTGATGTTATAGCTGTAGAAAGGTTCAGGCAACAAAACAAACAGTACATCTAAATCAAGATAAATAAAGCAAGGATACAGAATCAAAAGTATTTGCAGCTTACTCTTTCAAGGCAGTAAATACTCCACTGTGGATTGTTTATTAGCGCGATGCTTTCGAAATGTCCTCCTGCTAGCACGAAATCACTTCTTTTTGCAATTTCTTCCGGATCTAGCTTACAGCGCCAGATAATAGCTGAACATTCTAATATGTCCACCTGGAATGTCAGCAATACCAGCCGCCACTCCGAAAACCTCAAATGAGGATTCGGTTAGAGGAGAAAACATCGTAGCATTCAATGACCAACCTCTTTGATTTTCTGGTAGGAGTGTTGGAGAATCAGGTAGATCACATAAAGCTGAAGCCGCAAAACTATCCAAAACTTCTCTTGTGTAGTCTGCATTTCTGAAAAAATTTAAATCAAATCGTGAGAGCATAAAAATGCAAGCAGTCCTGACATGGAACACTAACTCAGTTAAAGTGAGAGCAATGTCCTCTCTAGCATAAATTCTGTGACTGAACAAGCGAATTGCTATGCTGCTGATTGACATAATACGAGGGTCGTATTGGGCTATGCATCGACATTGAAGGAGCAAGGTAAGGAAAAGTAAGAAAACGGCTTAAAAAAAGCCAAGTGCTGTCAAGTTGCAGGTGTGCCCCAGCATTACGAAATGTTGAGATCCGCCATTAGTTTCCAACGGTATTGAATCTTTGGTGCGTTCTCGCTTTTAAGGACTCGCACGGTCGCCACCCGGTGCGATTTTTCGACCGCTCGCCGGCCGTTCGCCGGCCGGTGCGAGTGTCTGAGTTGATCAAATTAATGCACTGACCAATAGCAAAGGGGTGTGAAGCGAATGAACTGTTGAACTGGGTAAGTACGCCTATGTGAGTTGTGGGACGGACATCGGACGTGCGCGGGGCAATGGCCGTATGCACGCCCGATTCTCGCGATCATGCAGGCCCCTATACAATGTTTTTTTGCGCTATTGGGTTTTTTGGGCTTTTTTTGGCGAAACAACGGGTCCCTTAGGGTTTCTTTTACTTAGTTATTTAGTAGTTTTTTCCAAAGTGTCTTTGTTTGCTTGCGTCATAAGGATAAGGTTAATTTCTTTTCTAGGCTAATCAGCGTTGTATTTGAATAGCGGGCGAGCGCAGGTCTCGGGTCCTAGGTGCTTAGGGCTTACCGTGCCGCCACAGGAATCAAGCTCAAATCCACTTCTGTAGAAACTACGAGGTTCAAACTACTGCATGAATATAAATGATAGCCATAACTTCCGAGGATTTCACGGGTGTGATACAAGTTAAGAAAATGTTTGGACTTGGACCATACCATTGATTGAGAACGCTCAAACGTTTTTTTTAGTATCAAGCGAATCTTTGCATCTTCTCTGCAGTAAAAAATATCATCCAAAATTCTTTGCCCCAAAATAAGATAGTTTATTTTTCTGCTCCATATTTCCCATCCCAAAATGAAGCCAACGCATTGATTACGGTCGAAGAGAACAGATTTTTGTGCACTTTTCAATGTCTACAGAACGAGAATTCCTAATCTCACATGTTAACGCTGCGCTGATCTGCACGGATTTTCAACATGCAATAACATTAACGCCAACACTAACAGCAGACGCATTAAGGTGTACTCAGGGGCGAGAGCGTTGTGGCTACGCGGCCGTCGTGTGACATCCCTTGATCGGTCGTGGCAGAAACACAGGTACGCAGTGCCTGACAAGAATCATATTGTCAAATGCATGAGTAAACTGTCCCATCAAAAACCGTCTCAAGACTTAGGAAAACGCCCAGTGCGTTAATGAACCAAGAACTCGAAAGTGAATGCAGGATTAAACTAATATTCATCTAAACAGATACCGACAAGTGGTGCTGCAGACCACTAAACCAGTGAGTTCTAACTATGGCCCCGGGCAGACTTCACGCGATTTGATCGTCGCGACTGAATCGCGAACAACTGTTACAACATCATTCCATGCCGATCAACTTGCATTCGGTTGTGATACTTTTCCCGAAAGCCCGAAATTTTGAATGTGAAATGAAAATGAATGGAAATGTAGGCGATTGAGTCGCGACGATCAAATCGCGTGAAGTCTGTCCGGGGCCTATCACTTCTAACTACCACAATCAATGGATGTTACAACAAGTTGTCTGAACTGAGATCTTGTTCTATTAGCCTTATATAGTTTTATATCCTTGCAATGACAGTGCAAATAGACGATGAAAGATGCTTCGAAGACGCGTCGCAGCAGAGGTCGCCTAAAACAAAAATGTTCCCCCCTGTGTCATTGCCGTATATGCTCAATCCCAAACGCCACAGAAACTTACGCCCCAGAACCATGTATAGTAATCCAGCAATCTTGACAAGAGTTGGTGATGATTGTTGTCACATTAGTTCTTATAATGATTATTTATCATTGGTTCTTGTTGCTATTTTTCGTCATTTATTATTATTGTTACACATAATTATTATCGTTGATTCAGTGCGTGATGATTAGCATGCAATAATTTGTAACAGCTGCTTGTAAGAAAATTTGCTGGCGACTACAATACCGCTCACATTTTTTGAAAAATAGACGCGAATGTATGGACATGTCCATACATGTACGGACATGTCCATACATGCACGGACATGTCCATACATGTATGGACATGTCCGTACATGTCCGTACATGTCCATACATGTCCGTACATGTCCATACATGTATGGACATGTCCATACATCAGCGTCGCGTGGCCATATCTCACTTCAGAGTGGACGAATTCTGATTCCAAAACCACCATTCGATTCAGCTCGGCGCGGAGAATCTTCTGATTATTGGAAGTGGGGGTACGATGTCTTCGATATCTCGTTTCCAGTTTTTCAATTTGTTCCGCGGAGGTCCTTTCGCGAATATGTGAAGCAACGTTTACCTAACATAGAAGACTTTACTGAGTACTTTTCGATAATACTGTTCTTGTAGATTCTTGTGCGCTAAAAAATAGGCTCAGACTTCTTTCCAAAGGAGATAGAAGCGTTGGTGAATTTTGGAAAAATTACGCGTTTTTAAATTCTACTCGCCATAACTTCCTTCGGAATAAGTATATCTTGAATCCGAAAGCAGCGCCTTGCTCAGCTCATCAAGGCGAATCTTCTTATATACAGCGTGTCCTTGATATTTCGATTTCAGTATTCTTGAATCTTTCTGAGGACGTCTTTCCGCGAAGGTGTAAAGCAGCGAGCATTGTCCCGAGTACATTCCAGCAAGGATCATTTGATAGCACTTTTTCTGTAGATTATGATGTGTTAGATAGTAGCCGCAGGTTTCTTTTCAAAGGAAATGGAACGGCTGGTGAATTGTGGAAAAATCTTGTCGTCCCAAATTCTACTCGCCATAGCCGCAGGATACGAAGCTATCTTGCTAAGCAGATGTGAGTTTCGAAATCAGCCGGTCGGATAACCTCTGTGGGCAAGTTTTCCGATATGTTCGGGTTATTCCATTTTTTCTCGTTTTACGCTCCAGAAGCTCGCCGATGGATTTTGGTCAAAATGTTGATGCTCCTGAATTGTAAGGAAACTCCGCTTATAAAGGTTTTCGAACACGCTCTTTACGAAAATCGGGGTCTTTGGGGATTACAGGGTCTTTTTGGAGAGATACGGTGAGGTGAGTGTAACTGCATCACGAAAGTGCGTAACTTTGGCCGCACTTCTCGCGTATCTATCAGAAACCTTGTTTGCTTGCTTTTCTCAGTCAAAGTTACTGGGGACTGTTCTATCGAATGGTGCATTAATCAGGCTCCAGTCTATGAAATTCACCGAGTTACGAGCCTACGAAAACACGTTCTCATGAATTTTGCCCAAAATGTAAAGATCGCATATCTCGTCGAAATTCCTCCGTGAGCGCTTGTACAACGCGCTGATCAAATCCTTTCACATTTTTATTTATTTATTTATTTATTCTATACGCTCTTGGCGTTCCATACTATAGAATAAAAAACAGTCATTTATACTCTAACCGCAACGATAGTGCATCATTAGTTTAGGTCTAATGTTGATAAAAATATGATGAAAGCTTGTATTTGACTGCTCTATGATTATAATTATCGGAATTAAATGGTGAGATTCATGGAGATGTACCCATGCCCCCTTTTGCCAGCAAAATATTTTGATTTTAACAAGCAAACAAGGTTTGATGGTGAGTATATTATCTGACCCCACCAAACCAGCAAACCAGTGTGAGCCAGTGATTCCAAGTGAATTTCAATAAGGGTTGTAATCAGGGCCCGGCACCGATGGTTTGGGGTCAAATTGGACTTCGCTTTTGAAGTTAGAAGCAACGGGGACATCGTTTTTATGAGGTCCTGGAGGAAGCGCCAAAAACAAAAACACGACGAACATGTCAGGTTTCACGAGTTGAACGTGTTCTTTCGCAAGCGCGCGAATTTCAAATGCAAGACTCAAACAAACAAATGGCTTGTTTACAGCGCACAAGCAATCATATGGTTCCGAATTTGGGCTATGTGTATACAATATTACTCCAAACTATGTTATGTAAAAAGTTTCCAAAACTTATGTGTCCTAATATCCGTTCTCGAATTTGTTGGTTTCTAGACCAACTACCAAACCAACTGGGTTGGTTCGGAGCATAAATATCGGAGAGCTCACATAAGTTTTGGACCTTTTTGATTTGGACGATTAGAACGGTCAAAAATCTATCATGTAGTGAAGAGAGGGGATCAAACCGTTGCCTCTCCCCTTTCTTGAGTCAAAAGTAGTATAATTCTACGCGTTGATAGACATCGCGCTCCAATCACTTGCGGTGTCCTTTGAAATATGTGGCGAAAAATGCATCGCAGGATTGTTGAGGCTACAGATTTGGTTGGCCTAGGAGATTTTCTACATTCCCAGCATCAAAATGGTACTATACCCGCAGAGCCTTTGATCGACTCGAAATGTTTTCTTTTTGCTTTTTTGTTATATTACATACCTCAAAATGCGCTTTTTTTCGCTTTTTTGTTGCTATTTTGGTTGAATAAGTTTTTCCGTACTGATTTTCACATCAAGAGGGACTTCGTAAATTTTCGCGAAGTCATAGGGGACTTCGTTTCCTAAAAACCTCCGAACCAACGCGTGCCGGGCCCTGGTTGTAACGATGAATAACTCATACGTGAGCGTAATCAAGTTAGGCTATTGTAATCTATGGAGATGGCAATCATGCCAACTCATTTGCCAGCAGAAGATGCTCTTGCAATAATGAAGCAAAGCGGGGCTCGGTTGGTGCAGTAATACCAATCAACCTTGCCCAAATGATTCCGGGGAGAGTCCAATGACTCCGAAGGAATATCAAATAGTTTCACTTTTTGTAATTCATTTAAGAGCAAGTCAACAAGCTGTAATGATTGGGAAGAGAAGTAAACTGATTAGACCTGAACCAACGTAATAGCAAGATATGGGTTAGTAAGACATTTGAAAGAAAATAATATTTATAAAACACAAATTGATGGTAGTAATTGTTATATGATATTATGCCAGTGCCAGGTTTGTACGGTGGAATTCTTTATTGGC